CTTCGATCACCAGTCATATGATTTGTGCATCCACTGTCCATAATCCATTCTGAAGCTTTTGGTGATGTACCCTTATCACCCCTTGCCATGTGGCATGATGAGGATGATGATGGTTCAGGTGTAAAGGTCATTTTCTTGAGAGATTCCTTGTAGTCCTCAAACGGCTGATCATGACGAGTGCGATGACCTTCGTATACATCAGAAAGCCGGTCCCAGATTAGCTTCGCGTGATTGAGGTGCATAACATTCCTAAACTGATTTCGGGACAGATGACAGCAGATGACGTCCTTCGCTGTGAGGTTCAATAGAGTGTACTTGCGAATGTCATCAGCTTCTGCCATCTTGCATAGATCAGTGAGTCCAATCTCAGTGACGGTCCATAGTTCGCTATCCATGGACATGAGTAGCTTCTTCATCATGGCCTTCCATCGGGGATACTCATGACCGTCGAAAGTGGGACACGATATGTTCCTCAATCCTGCAGTCGACATAGCTGAAACTCCAGGTGGTTAAACCGAATCACACAGAACAAGGGAATACCTTGCTCTGATACCAATTGAAAGTGCTAGTATCGACTAGAGGGGGGTGAATAGGCGATTTTTGTGAAAGTCTTCAAAACTTGGAAGTTTCGAAGACAAACAACAGAAACAACCTAATTGATATGCAGCGGAAGATAAACTACTCTAAACAAGCCATAGTCAAGTTTGTGATGATGTGAAAGTACAGGACTAATAGCAGTTAGGTAGTAAGGATCAAGATGGAAGATAGTGTGAAGCCAATCAACAATAGTAGTCAAGCAATGAAGTCAAACAGATAAACAGATAAGCAATGACTTCATGAAGACAAACTTAAGTAAGGTTGGAAGGGATAGAACCAGTTGTTTGTTGAAGACACATGATTTGTTGGACCAGTTCCAGTTCCTGTGACAACTGTACGTCTGGTTAGGGAGGCTGAGATTTAACTCAGAAGACCGTGTCTTCACCTTATTCCCCTTGAGCTAAGGACACCCAGTCCTCGCCCAATCACTCTGGTAAGTCTTCAAGGGAGACTTCCAAACCTTCACAGACTTCGTTCACGGGCAATCCACAATGACTCTTGGATGCTCAGAACGCGACGCCTAATCGGCTGGAGGATTCACAGTCCTCAAGTGTAATAAGTCTTCAGGTCACACAGACAGAAAGACTTCAGTGATGTCTAACACTCTTTGGCTCTGGGTGTTTGGGCTTTGTCCTCGCAAGGATTTCTCTCTCTCAAATGCTTCGAGGTGGGTTGCTCTCAAACGACAAAAGCCGTGCATAAACTCTGAATAGCCACCAATTTATGGTGTAGGGGTGGGCTATTTATAGCCACTAGGCAACCCGACCTGATTTGTCCAAAATGACCCTGGGTCACTAAGGAACTGACACGTGTTCCAACGGTCAGATTTCAAACACACGCGGCAACTTTACTTGGGCTACAAGCAAGGCTGACTCATCCAGCTCTGGATAAGATTTGCTCTCATTGTCTTCGCTCGAAGACATAGGATTTGAGTTGAGCATCACTTCAGTCACTCTGACTTAGTTCACTGGGACCCCACTTAACAGTACGGTGGTTCCTATGACTCAACAAAGAAGAAAATGAAACAGCGAATCCACACAGTCTTCGCGCTCCAAAGTCTTCACACAATGTCTTCTCATGTCATAGTCTTCAATATGAATATCTTCTCATACCACCATTGTCTTCAATGTCTTCATACATTTTTAGGGGTCATCTCCGGTAGGTAAACCGAATCAATGAGGGACACTACCTGCGTTATCCTGCAATTCTCACAAACGCATTAGTCCCTCAACCAACTTTGTCGTCAATACTCCAAAACCAACTAGGGGTGGCACTAGATGCACTTACAACGTTGCTTTACTTTCGTGATCCTCTTATCTTCCAAATCCCTCACCACGCACCTCGGCTCAGCCTCCTCTCTAACCTTCTGCTCAGAGACAGGTTCTCTCATACACCTCTCCAGATCCGCCCTCGCCTTCTTCAAACGTCCCTCCAATTCACCCACCACCTCCTTCTGCCATTTCACCATTCGCCCCGCAACCGTGCCCATGACCCCTGCCACTCCTTTATCACCCTTCAACCATCCTTCCTCCCATGCTCCCTGGATTTCTTCGCTGCAACCGGCCTCTTGTAGCCACCAGGCTTCAAACCTAAACCCTCGGTCCCCTCTTCTTCCACTACTCCGGTGTCCTTCCGTGGACACAATGACTGGGCGATGATCGGAGTGACGCGGGTTTCCATTTACTACAGAGAAGTCCGGGAATGCTTCGCACCATTGTGTGTTTGCTGCTGCACGGTCCAACCTCTCGCAGATATACGAATGCAGTTGCTTGCTGTGATTCCTCCACGTAAACTTATCTCCCACATAGCCAACATCATAGAGGTCGCAGGACACTAGTGCTTCTCTGAATCTGTCCATGCATGCCTGCGATCGTGCAGCACCCCCCTCCTTTTCATCACAGACCAAGATTTCATTAAAGTCCCCGAGGCATAGCCATGGTCGTCCGGTTTGGTGTTGTTGGCCTAGAAGCCTCATTGTACGCCACGTGTCCTTTTTCCTCTCCGCTGCCGACTCCCCATACACTCCGGTCAGTCTCCAAACACTTCCTCCTTCTCCTGCCACATCAACATCCACATGCCTCCGTCCATATGATCTCAGCGAAATATCCGCCCCTCTTTTCCAAAACATAGCAATTCCCCTACTCCTTCCCTCTGGATCCCACACAAGCATGTGTGCAAGGCCCAGTGACCACCAAAAACTGTCAAGTTCCCTCTCTGTCAACCTCGTTTCAGCAAGAAATAAAATGTTGGGATCCTCCATTCTCCTCAATTCGAGGAGACTCCAAACTGCCGGGCCATTCCCGAGCCCCCAGTAGTTCCAACTGATAATTTTCATTGTTCCTGGCGGGGCTACGCTGACAGCCCGGCCGATACGATTATGTTGACATCCTTTTCCACACTTACTTCGACTACACCACCTCCCTGTTCATCTACCTTCCCTCTCTTCCCTGCCTTCTCCTCCGCCTCCTCCTCAAGGCCCCTTTTGTGCCCTAATTCCACCGCTTGCTGATGATCGCTGGTTTCCCCACTCCTAGGTCTCTCCTTCCTTCTAAACTTCTTACCATTCTGATTTTTGCCATTGATTTTACTGTCTCGACTAGCCTCTACAGCCCCCCTGCAGTGTATGCTCATCCACTTCCATCGTTAGTGTTTCAGACGCCTGGCCACCCGCCCCCTCCGAGGAGCTAGCCACAGTTTTACCCCTTTCTCCCTCTCCCTTTGACAGATTGTCAGTCAGCACTAACTGAAGATTCCTCGGCGTACCCTGTCTCTTCTGCTCGATCGCAGCTTTTGGTGGGCTTGTTACTTCTTCTCCTTTTTCTGAACCTCCCGCTACCTCATTGCCCGAACGATCAGTCTCCTTACGCCACGACAGACTGTCACTGCCACTTCGAGATCTCCCATATGATCGAGCATGCCCCCAGCTGCTCTTCCCCGCAGTCTCCCTATTATTCCTCCTCCACGGCCCCTCCTCAGCCGAACCCCTCCTTCCTTCCATCTCTGCTTTCAGCCACCTCCCAAACTGCGGCCTTTCTCCTCTCTTCAGAACGATATTGCACTCCTTCTCTCCATGCCCAATCAAGCCACAGGTATAGCAAAAATCTGGGAGATACTCATACTCAAATCTGCATCACCCATCCTCCTCTTCCAGCCTGTCCACCTCCTTGCCGTTCTTCTTCTTCTGATTCTCCTCCCCTCCTTCTTCCTCAAGAGTAAAGCCCCTCATAATTGGCTTATCGATTCTCATTCTAATCTTAACCCTCAAGAACCTTCCTATTGTCGTTCCATCTGCACCCGTATCCGCCTCCACATACGTCCCAACCAGATTTCCAATCTCTTCTGCCGCCTCTACATTCATCATGCCCAAAGGGAGGTTGAACACCCTAATCCATACAGGTATATTGTTGAACTCATAGTCCTCCATCCTCTTGCTCGGATCAAAGTCCTCCACAACCACAAGCTCCTTGTCAAACATCCACGGGCCGCTCTCCAACGCCTTCCTCTTTCCAGACTCCTGAAGAAACGTGAAGACAAACTTGTTGTCGCCCGCTTCCTTGCAATCTATCCCTTTAATGGGGCACCACACCTTACCCAGGGATAGACGGATTGCATCTGGGTGTGCAGGTTTCTCCGACATGACCTTCCCCACCGCCTTTGCCTCCACAAACTTCCCCTTCTCCTTCGCCGTGATCCTAATCCTAACCCCTTTCTTCTCCTCCTCCGAAAGCTTCAATCCCTTCATCATCCCTGCCACATCTTCCATCTTCCTCCCCTTCCTCCCCAGGCCTCGCCCTAGGGTTTATGGTGCGCTTGCGGTCGCGTACCCGTGGACGCACACTGCAGATCTGGAAGGGCAACCAGGGCTGGCCCCAAGATCTGAGAACTGTCGGCGAGGGTGAGAGACTCCGGCGGCGCGGTGAACCCTAGCGCGATCGCCTCCGCAATCGCCGGACCAGGACTCCAACCGTCACGCTACAGGACGGACTCCATCCATAACTTGCTGTACCCCGGGATTAGGAAGAGAGAATGCACGAGAAAATTATGCCGATTCCACCTGACTTTATGCTTATGGAAGGTTTGTAATTGCTTGAGATGGTGAAGATCTCAATCCGGAAACCTCGATATTACTAGTAGGTTCATAAAATGACCTGAGCTTATGGTCTCCAAAGTAAATAAAAGGACCTGAAACTTGCAGCCCTGGCTCGTTAACCGTACTAAAAAGCAGGTCGCACTTGATGCCTTGCTTGCTGTAGCAGAAGATGTAAAGCGCCCATGCATGTTGCAGAGGCCGTGGTGCTACAACTACAAACATCCGAATAAAATCGAAAGAGACCAACACAAGCTGAATCACTAGACGCTTCCACACCCCAGACCGCGATCGAGCCGAGCGATCTAACAAGCGCATGGAGTCCTCGCTCTGCACAGAATCGCGGGGCACGTTGACCGGAGCACATGCCGCTCCGGGTGCCGGCATGCGGCGCCACCGGCCCCCGGCCCGTGCCAGCGCGTTGGGACGATGGAGGCCTCGCGCGCTGCGCGCCCACGCGAGCGCGACGGAGCCGGAGCCCCTGGCACCGGCGAAGGGAGGGCAGCCGGCGGTGCCCTGGACCGCGCTGAGGGTGGGCGCGGGCGCGGGCGTCGCGCTCGCTCTGGCCCTGGGCGGCGCCTCGTGGTCAGCGCGCGGCGGTGGCGCCGGCGCCGTCCTCGTGCAGCCGGCCATGGTGTATACGCTCAACGCCGTCACGGACGGAACGGAGCGGGGCGGCACCCCGGCAGCGGCGGTGAGGACGAGCGTGGGCGCGCTCTCGGACTCGCTGTTCCGGCGCGAGGACGCGCCCAGAGAAAACGCCACGCTCATGGACCTCGTCTTCGAGCAAGTCACCAAGGAGGTTCTCTTTCTCTGCTTGTGCAACGCCGCTGCTTTCGTTCGACCCGTGTGATAATGGATTAACGATGCCATGCACAGCACATCGGCGACAGGGGGAAGCTGACGAGCCTGCTGCAGAAGGAGTGGGCGGCGTCGCGCGACCCGGAGAGAAAGCTCGACCTCGGCTTGCTGCTCACCGACGTGCTCATCAATCAGGTGACTTCGTTTGTGCCTTCCGTTCGGGTGGTCCGTAAAAACGATTAACCGTGCTGCGTGCTGACACCCTGTTTAATCATCACACGCAGAGAGAATGGCAGAGGGCAAAAGAAGTCTGCCAGCAGCTGACCGGCCGCTACCAACGTGACTCGAGGCCATATTTACATTTGGTAAATGCTTCCCTGCCACTGCTAATACAGCCTGCCTAGCCTACATGTGATCAATTTCTCGTGTGCTCAACTCTGTTTTGTCCAGGCTGTGGTTAACATGATGATGGCGGTGGAGACCATGCTATCTCCGGACACGGCCACCGCCGACGACATCGAGAAGATGTCCAAGAACGCCATGGACGCCTGGAAAGAATTCAAGAACAAGTACGAGCTGGCCAAGGGAACAACAGAGTCCAGCACCTGACCACCTGATGCAGTACTGACCAATTCTTGTGAAGAATCTTTGTGTCTTTGCTTGCCTGAAGCCTCAAGGCAATGTTTGTGTTGAGTGCTGACCACTCTTGTGACGCATCTTTGTGCCTTGCCTGCGTAGTTGCGTGTGTAGTTTATTCAGTGTCTGGGAGTTCATGTACTCATGAAGCCTTATCTCTTTTGTGTGCTTGTGGCTACCAAATTTCCCCTCTGTCATATTGACGAAGAGTGCAGTCTTCAGACCCTACGAGAAGTATGGAAGCCACATATGCATATATAGTTCACACACTAGTCTGATAGTTTGTGTAGTACTTTGTGTTACCAAAAGTTTACCTGCTGTATATCTCTGCCCTACAGTTGAATTCTTTCTTCGGAGCAAAATGAATGGATGAAATGCTACATTTTCATTGGCCCTGTTTAATTGTTTTATTCAGAAGGCTCCCCCCACATCTTCATGAGGTACCCCTCACAGCTGCTCCCGGCGATGTCTTGCGAGGACGCCATCCTGGCGATCCCCTGCTTCGCCCCTCCTCCCCCGCCGCCATTATCGCGCTTCAGGTTATGCCGATACTCGACGCTGATGTGCTCCAGCACCTCCACCTCGAACATGTTGATGCTCACCTTGGGGCTCATTTGGTCCCGCACGTAGGCGAAGGCCAGCTGGTCCCGCGGGTTGAACGCCTCCAGCTCGTTGAAGAGCAGGCAGGAGAAGAGGTCGCTCGCCGAGCCGTGCCTCCTGATGATGATCGCCGTGTCCGGCACATCTGCACCACGTCAAACGAATCAGAATCGGATACAGGCAGGGCACGCGAGCAAATCTGTCTCTGTCTTTAGTGGATACCTGAAGGATATGGGAGCTTGCTGGGGGACCATGGCTGCAGGCCGTAGCTGCAGTAGGCCTCCATCTGCGCCCTGATGGCGTCCACGTCGCGCCACTTGCGCCACCGCGCCGTGGCGATCGCCTCCTCCATGGCGTGGAGGTTGAACGGGTGCCTGGAGACCGCCATGTCCGCGCCCTTGCCGACGAGGAGGGAGTGCACCAGCAGCAGCGGGTCCACCGTGAGCTGCATCTTGGCGTCGATCCAGACGCTGAACCTGGCGTTCGGGAAGAGCCTATGCAGCAGGTGCTTCACCACGACGCCGTTCATGGCGGGGTCCTCGTAGGGGAGCTGCTGCTGCTGCTGCAGCGTCACCACGCACCATGCACCGACGAACGCGCTGGCCGACGCGACATGCTCGTCTTCCAGGATGCCGTGGCTCGCCAGGACCCGGTGGGTACGGTCGTCGATGAACATGAAGAAACACGCCGCCTTGACTGTATGGGACCCGAGCCCCTTTGGCTGCCGGATCTTGTCGTGGTCATTGAAGATTGCCGAGGCGATGACCACCCCTCGGCAGCTCTCCATGGCCGATCTGTCTGAAATATCATCGACGTTAAAGAAGCATGGTAACATTGATAAGTGGAAAACTTGACACTTTTTTTTGAAGGCTATACTCCCTCGGTCCTAAATAAGTTTCACTGATTGTATTAAATCAACGACACTTATTTTGAAACAGAGCGAGTATTAAACACATCTAAGTCTTACGAAAAAACCCTAGCAAAAATAAAAAATAAAAATGGTCCAAGGGAATTCACCGACCTCTCCAACCAACACAAACCAATGGCATGTGCCCTATACTGCCGGCACAAGAGAGTCGATGTAACTACGGCCGTGAAATCATCATACATTGCCATGAGACACCACCGACAATGATTTGAAGCATGGATTGTCGACCTAGAGAGAGGGCGAAGTCCAGACGAGGAAATCCAACCCAGTCGGCGCCAAAAGCATCGTCGAAGGAGAGGGAAGGCGAAGACCAGACGAAGAGACACACCCCACGTCGACTCCAAAAGCATAACCGTAGGATCTTATTGACAAGACCACTGCGCCACGGCAAAATAAACAAGGCGAAAGCATCGTCCATGACGACAGTTGGCCACAACCCAACGGACTGCATATGAAAAAACAACCCTCAAGGCCCCGGGGTGATACCGGATCCAGCGTCAACACAATAAGGATGTCACTTGATGTACCTATTCCTCTTCATCGTCGCCTACACCTCTCAGACTAACGACACGAGTACACAAAAACCTAACAAATTGGAGCAAAACTCACCGCGATAAGAGTACGCCAAAACCTAACAATTTGTGGATTTTTTTCTTCTAATTCTTTTCATATTAAATATTCAATAAATTTGACTGAAAATATATTTGATCGAAGTAATTACACTATACACATGCTCAAGGCAGTCCTCAGTGTATTGGTTAGTATCGTACTCCCTCTAGTCCAGAAATGCATATAGATTTTGGCCCAAGTTAAACCTCGTAACATTTGACCAAGTTAAAAACTTGTAGATGTTGACTTTTCAATAAAAAAAAATCAAAACGTACAAATTTTGACTTGTCACAAAGGGAAAAGTCCAAAGTAAACCTTAAACTCATAGACAAAAGCTAAATCGAACCCTGAACTTTCAATCCCTAAAATCAGCACAGCAAACTCTTTGATCCCGGTCTATTTTGAATCGCGAGAGCGTTCCCAAACAGGGATTGTCGACGTGGCGGGTTGAACCCCGGGATTGCTGACTATCCACGCGACTGGGCCGGCCCAACAGGCGCGAAGCGAGATTTTTTTCTTTTATGTTCAGTCTATTTTTATTTTTATTTTGTAATATGCGACGTAATAAAAATACCAAAAATCCGTCAATTGTTGATAGCACGGGGGCGACCCACGACGTGCGAAGTGAGCTTTTTTTCCGTTTTATCATAACGCGCGGCGTATAAAAACACAAAGAAAATAGACAACCTGGAGCTGCTGAACTCGTCATGGAAGCCACCAGAATAAATGGCAGTTGTGATTTAGTGAGAATCCTGAAATATTTAATCAAACACCGCAAAGTCCAAATTAGGAAGAAACCTTTTTTAAGGGAAACAAATATGGAAAACATAAACAATTGTCAAAATGAACAAATTTTGAAAACAAAATCAATTTTGAAAAAGTGAAAACTTTTAAAACATAATTGTTTTTGAAAAAAAATGGGAACAAATTTGAAACCTGAGCAAAATTTAAAATGCAAACACTTTCTGAAAATTGTAAAATGGGAGCAACTTTTTGAACGTGAACAAATGTGTGAGAAAAATGTTGAATACTCCCTCCACAAAGAAATATAGTGATCTAAACGCTTTTATATCTCTTTACAGAGGGAGTACTTTTTTTAAAAAATGAACAGCTTTGAAAAAATGGGAACACTTTTTGAAACATAAACATGTTTGGAAAGAATGGAACTATTTTTAAAACCTGGACAAAATTTGAAAGTGTGAACATTTTCAATTTTTTTTAAAATGGGAGCAACTTTTTAAACAATGTAAAATAATGTTTGTATAGTTTTGTAAAATGTTTATTATCATTTCAAAAAAGTTAAACGTGTATTTGGCAAAAATTTACTGTATATTCATAAAATGTTGTGAACATGTATTTTAGAAATGTACATGATGTATTCGAAAAATGTCGGAAGTGCATCAATAAATGTTTCATGTGCGTGTTAATGTATATAATATATTTGAAAAATGTCGAAAGCACAATAAAAAGGAAAGAAAAAAACAAAAAAATCGAAGAAATCAAGAAATAAACAAAAGAAAACCAAAAATATAACGACACAAAACCAAAGAAAACTAGGGAAAAAATATAACAAAGGTAAAAAAAGCCGGCGAAAACAGATCAAAATAAAGAAAACCCGAAGGAAAAAATAAAGGAAAATGGAAAAAATGAAAACCATAGCAGAGCGGGCGTGCAAGCTGACTTCTCAATGGGCCCGCCAAATTTGACTTGTCACGTCAGCGAGTACCAGTGAAATGCTCTCAAGTTTAAAAATATACCCGAATCGAAGAGTTTGGTGCGCTGATTTCAGGGATTGAAAGTTTAGGGTTCGATTTAGTTTTCGTCTATGAGTTCAGATTTGTTTTGGACTTTTTCCTGTCAAGAAATATGTGTATACAATATTTAATCATTTGCAATAAATACTACCTCCGTCCTAAAATGCAAGACGTTTCTTAAGGCTAGTTTATCCTAAAAATGTCTTATATTTTAAATACTACCTTCGCCTTAAAATGTAAGACGTTTCTTAAGGCTAATTTGCCTAAAAACACGTCATATATTTTTAGACGGCGATAGTATGTTGTAAGTACAATTTACAAAGGCTTGTACCTTAGTGGAGTACTAACTTATGATATGCATTAAATATGTCCTAGGTACAATTTTCCATTGACTCATATCTTTATTGCTGTATCTTATCAGTTAACACATTTTATGAGAGAATAGCCATATTTTGGCTATTGCTCTTTCCTCTATTAATTAGTATTTTGTCTAGTTGCAACCCTTTAAGTAAAAAAGGTTGACGTGATTACACAATACACTAGACTAGAGTGAATTTCTCCTGCATGCAATATACGAAATATGGACAATTAACTCACCGGCTTGTGCGAGGGGAAAGTCCTTGAAGAATCCACATGGGATTTCCACTGCGCTGTCTGTGTGATTGAAGAAGGATCTCCGTTCCTCGGTGGACAAATTTCCCGCAAACGAGTCCCTCCTGCCGGTCTTGTACCGCAACCCAGGGGATGCACGAGGTGTCGCCGAGAGGTTGCGGCCGAGGCCATTGATCTCTTGCAAAACGGTGTTATAATCTGCTCGAAGAAGGAAATTTGTGGGTCAGAAAGGCAATGAAATGACCCGCGTTTTTGGCATATGGCAATAGATAGTAAAAAAAAAAAGGCAGAACCATTGACAAGAACGATAATTTGACGGGAAATATTGCGACAAGAAACACAATCGTTGCGAGTTATGGTGCGAATGATCGGATTCTATAAAAATCGACGACGATATCTTGAGGCGACGGAGGCTGAGACCTGAGAACACGGCCGGGTCGGAGCAGAGCGCGCGCGGGGTGGGGAGTGCGTACTTGTGCGCGCCGTAGTCGCGCGGGTAGTCGAAGAGCGCCGTCGCCGGAGGGGAGGGGCGGGCGGGGCGGAGGAGGAGGTGGAGGGGCAGGCAGCGCGAGGGGTCGGAGAAGGAGACGTAGAGCGCGAGCGGGAGCGTGGTGAGGAGGTAGAGCAGCGAGAGGCAGAGCAGCTTGGACTGCAGCAGCGGGGGCCTCCGCACGCGCACCCACGCCATGCCGCTCGCGCTCGCCCCAGCCAGAGCGCGCGGGCGGGCGGGCCGGCGGACGTGTCACCCAGTTTGTTTTGACTCTTTGAGCCGAGTGATCAGGTCACGCGGGGAGAGGAGATCGGGGGGTCCTCGTGCATGCCGCACGTCCGTTACGGAGAGAAGAACGACCTGCCGTGGTCCTGCATACCGCACGTCTGTTATACGGAGAGAAAAATGAGCTGCCGCGACCGATCGCTGAAGGAACTGGCTGGGAGTTCGATGTTATGTACGTACTGTACGTCGCCACGTCGGTGGTAGCACGTACGTACACACTCCCTATTGTAGCCAGTGATGCTCCAAGAGAAAGTGCACTGCAGTCGATGTAGTGAGAATCACCGATTCTGGTTGAGCTGACGGAAGAAACTTGGATTCGGACACCTCGGTTTGATTCTTCAGCTGCGACAAATAGCAGCAGAACAGTTCATGGAAAGAAAAAAAAATTAGCAGCACCGCCGGTGTGATAGCAGGGGATATTTATAGGAAACGTATCATGGGAACAGTCTTCTCAAACGCGAAAGAAAGCAACAGGCCGCCAAAATGGCAAACAGTTTGTTGCACCAAAGGGGCGCTTTATTGCTCGCATGTCCATACAGCGCAAAACAGTACACTAGGAGTAGTTGGCTTCAGCAGTTTATAGGCTACCATTATTCGTCGGCTTAGATAGAAAGCTTAAAAGACAAGACACTCTTACATACGAGTTCACTGATTAATCTAGCCAGCAGCAGCAAGCTTGCACAGTTACATGTCAGACGCGGCCATGGTGTCGAAGAGCATCCATATCTCGTTCACCCTGCCGCTGAACTCGAACGGTGAGTTGTACTGCGCCACGGTGTACTCGGACGCCGGGTCGGCCTTGCGGCCGTCGGACACGGCGGCGGCCCACCTGGTCCCCTGCAGGCTGGCGTCGAGCAGCGCGGCCTGCTTGCCGACGTCGGCGTCGGCCACGAAGCCGCCGAACCGGCGCACGGCCGCGTACCTCGCCCCGGCCCACTTCTGCACGTGCAGGCCCTCGGCCGGCGGCGCGTCCGCCTGGTTCTTCGCCGGCACGTAGAAGCTGACCACGAAGGAGGAGACGCAGAAGGGCCCGTCGCTGGGCGCCACCCGCGTCAGCACCGGCGCCGTCATCTCGATCGTCTCGTTGTAGGCGTTCTTCCCCTGGATGT